GTTATTATATTTGATTGATATTCAAGATTCTTGTAATTATTGCTTAGTATGAAATCTTCTTTACATCTATAACCTAACTTTTTACTATAATTCTGACAGGTTTCTCTATTATTATATATGTGAATTATACTGTTATTACTATTTTACATGATCTCAGAATTAATACACCTTTTAGTAGTTGCCTCCTGTTTCAAACCTGCTACATAAACTGCAATCCAATTTTCAACTTACTTTATACTTGGCATCTTCTTATAAGTAATTTTATTTTCTTTTACTAGTCTTTCTAGTTTTTTTATTATTTTTGTAACTGTTATATAATCTGTTTTGTTTACATTATCAGCCAAAAAAAAATTCTTTAAGATATTGTCTAATCTTTAGTATTATTTGTTTTCATACCCTATATTTTTCTAGTTTTTGATGGCTTTTTAAAGCCTATTCTAATGATAAAAAAAATATTTCATCAACTGCATTACTAATTAAACATTCTATAGTTTCTAAAATATAATATTATATTAGTAAAGAATTCGATGATTTGTAATTAATCTCTAAAATTATTTTTAATATTTTGTATTAAATCTGTGTATAAAATGATTTAAAGTGTAAAATAATTTAGTTTTGTTAAAAATTTTAATTTTACAAAATAATAGATATATTATTAGAATATCTGTTTTATATATGATTAGAATTATTCAAGATTTTAGTGAATGAGAATAGGCTAACACTTCAGATTCTGGTTTATGAATTAGTTATTTAACTAGTTTCATAATATCTGATAATGTGTATATTTTCTATTTTTCAATAATAAGAAGCATCTAAGCTTTTATAAATCTTGCCAAACCATCTTCAATTGGCCATTGCTAATAAAAATAATTTGTAATTTCTTTCATAGTTTTGACTAGGACATGGTCTCTTTTTGGTTCAAGATGTGCAATATTAGTTTCTGCTAAATTTTGTATAGCTTCTACAATTTTTTTACCAGAATCCAGATTATATTTAACTTGTATATATTGTGCAATAGCATGTGATATTTACTAATATAGCAGCTAATATTTGTTATTATTTTACAATAATTAACTAGTTAATTAGCTTATTACAGCATGATGAGAGTCTACTAATGATTTAACCTTAACAAGTTCAAAAAAATACCAACTATGAACTTCAATAGAATACTACTAATACTAGTTAGCAACTACTGCCATTATTTCTGAGTTATAATAATGTCCTTTATTGTCCAAAAATATTTTTATCTATTTAGGTTTAGAATTATGTGCTTCAAAAACTGAATCAAAAAAAGATACAATAAACTATATATCCTGTTTTGTATCTAATAACTAATGATTAAAAACTTGTATTTTAGCAGTATTATCATCTTCTTTGATAAATACCAGAATAGAATGTAATGCATATTTTTTTTTCAAAAAAATTACTTTTTGTTTTTTGTATTCTTTTTTCTAATATTTTTATTTTGTAATCTACTATAATTAAAGCATCTTTTTTGTTTAGTTTTGCTAATTTAGCTTTAAATTAACTGTTTAAATAAGTTTTTCATACTTGATGTGCAAGAAAATAAGTAAGTTTTTCCTTATAGTTTGCTATTGTTTGATGATATTTTTGTGATAATATTTGTACTAACTGTTCATATATTAAAAAAAAATTGTTACACTTTGTATATCAAGTATTATGCAACTCAAAACACTAATTGAATACATATAATAAGCAATAATTAATACATTGCATATGACTAGTAGTTTCATCAGGATGTATAATAAGTTTTAATTCAAAATTTTGACACATATAATAGCATAATGATTCTAAATCACCAATTAGTTTATTTTAAAAAAAAGTAAAAAATTAGAATTTGTATATAATTTAATATATACAATATATTGCAAAAATAACTGGAATCGAATGTCATATAATGGATTACTTATGATCTAACAAATTTAGATTAGATTTTGATTACAAATATTTATACACAAACTAATTACAAGACATGCAGCTAATATTGAACACTTTTGTGACTACTATATTCTTTGGCCTAGATGTTCGTTTAACCACCCAAAAATATATCTAATTTATAGAAAAAAAACTAGTGCATAGCTATTTTGTACCTGTGGAATGAGGAAATATGTAATGCAAAGGAAATACACAAGTGAACTAATGCCCTTCTCTCTACAATCTATGAAAACATAAAAAAACTCAAAAAAACCAGAACCATAGTCCATGCAAAAGGCAATGGCTAATCCAAGAAAATTATTAAACATGCCTTATATGTACTTGTACAGTATATTCAAAGTAATCCTACAGTTACCACTAGAGCAATGGCCAATAAACTGGCTAAAATAGGTGTAAATGTATCTCATAGCACTGTTTCAAGACATTTAATCAGTGCTGGATATTCTAGTGGCATTCTACAAGCAACCTGCATGCTTACTACAAAACATAAACTAGCATGATTAGAATGGGCCAAAAAACATATAAATAATAATTAGAATTGTATCTTTTTTATAGATGAAACTGCCTTTAGGCTTTTTCATAATATGAGAAAGCATTGGTATAAAAGAACCTGACCAGTTAGGAGAATTTCAAAGGATCGATCAAAAATTTTGACCTAGAGTGAATTTTGGATTGGAGGTAAAGCAAGTTTGTTTTGCTTTAAAAGAATAATAGATGCTAAATTTTATGTAAAAATAATTAGTAAACATATTCCAGAAGTAAGAAAGATGCTTGGTACTAGGTGGTGGTGGCAGCAGAACAATAATCCTAAGCATCAGAGTGGTTATGCTAAAGCTTTTCTTAAAGAAAATGTTCCTGTTCTTCTTGATTAGCTATTCAATAGCTCTGATTTCAATTTAATCAAAAATCTGTAAAGTATCATTAAAGAAAATGTTGAGAAGCATATGCCAAAAAATCTTAATGAGTTAGAATGTTTTATAATTTAAGAATAGAATAAAATTCCAATCTTATTTTTGAAAAATTTAGTTGCTACAATAGGACAATAATGTAAGCTTGTAATTGAGCTAAATGGTGAACATATTCCTTATTAGAAGGGTTTTTTTTTAATAAATAAACATCTAGTTGGGTACTATTAATGGTATAAATTTTATGCAATTTGAATAAAATACTATGCCATTATCATGTAATATTCGATTCTAGTTATTTTTGCAACATACTGTATATATTATCTTAAATAGGTAATATAGAAAAGTTACATATATAACCAGTTGTACACTCATTTAATAGTTCAATATAGATATATCTATATAAAATATATATCTGATATAAGTATTAATAAAAAGCTAGAACCAAAAAGGTCATCTTAATACTGAAAAAAAAATTTAAAATATATTATTAGATTAGTAATATTTTATTATAAGACAGTAGTTAAATGCAACATTAGTTTACTTTTTTAAAATTTGATTTTGTGCTAATAAATTACTTATAGAATTTATAAAAATAATTATAAAATATTAATTTAAAACTTAAGTTCAAAGTGATTATATAAAGTATAAATTTTAATAAAAAATATTAGCACAACTATTTAAATAAAAATAAAATAAACTAACTAATTATTCGATTTTTATATAATTTTAAATAATAATTTTATTTTATTTTTTTAAATATTAAAATGAATATTTGTAATTCAGAATTTTATTGATAATATATTCAATTAATAGTTGTATTACAATTACAAAAAACAATTATAAAAAAAATATATAACCAACTATTTATATAACTTTAATTATTGTTTAATTTAAATAGTTTGTTTGAAAGTTTTATATTAACTACTATACCTAAGACCTAATTGTAAGTTTTTTATTTAAACATTATAGTTTTTGTATTTACTTGCCTATTTACACTTATTAACAACTCTGATTAATACCAATAAAAATATGTCATAAATACTAAAACTTTAAGACAGCTTACTTTATATAAAAAACTATTGATCTTATACTAAACCTTCTAAAATTTTCTATATCTTATTTTTATAGCTGATTTAATTATATTATAACTAAAACCAACATTTGCAATTAGAATATACTATTAAACTGCTATGCCTTTGTAGAGTTTATTTTAACTCTGATCTATGTAATTGCTAATATAATTTTAAAAATTTTAATAAAGTACTAGTGTAACTGTTTAAGTTTAAAAAAAATAATAATAATAAATTAGATATAATATTTTATTTAATTATATTTTAACTATTCAAATCTAAGTTTTAATCATTTTAGTAAATTTAAATTACAAATAAATATATTTAGCTTTTATTTATAAATAGAATTTTTCTATTTTTGTACTTATAGTTATATATAATTAACAGTTTAATGATTAACTCTAACTGCAAGTGTTGATCCTAACTATAGCATTATATAGAATTACTATTTGTATATAGTAACTTTATATAATTACTAATCTTAAAACTACCAATAAAGATACAAGCAAAGCCTTATCTTAATATTCAAAAAAAAAAAAATATATATATAATTTATACTAAAATTTTGTAAAAAGTTTTTTTTTAAAACCTAAAAGTGTTATATATATATAATTTTGATTATAAATATTCGTGTTTGATACACTAATACACAAATATTTATTACCTATGCTTAATATATCTTATAATAAATAAAACTAAAATTAACATTAAAACTAAAATAAAATTGCAAAAAAAAATTCATTATGTTATAACAGAAATTATTATAATAAAATATTGAAAAAGCACACCGAAATGCAAAATATACCAAAATAAGTTACTATTTATTACAATTATTAAAGAACATACACTTTTTTTTTGTTCTATGAATATTATAAAATTGATCTTTAATAGGAAATAATAAAACGTTTAATTTTGGAGTAATGACTAAACAAGTATTTGTTGGAATTGTTAACCAATCTGCTTTTTCAAATGTTAGTGGCTCTAAAAAAAATAACAAATGCAAAACCATAGAACAGTAGTAAGCAAGTCATCTGATTATTGTGTTAAAACGATGCTTTGCAAGAATTTAAATTGGTACAATACCTGAGGCTACAAGAACAATATCTTCGCGTTTATCAGCTTTTGTCTATATCAAATAAAAAATTATAATTAAATATAATAGGTATAATAATAATATTATTATTATTAAAATGAAGACGTTACAGTCGTTCTTCCATACAATCACATAGTTGGGTACATAGTAAATTTTTTTAAAAAATGATCTTATAAAGAAGTTTTGCTTAAGTAAAGTTTTTTTTCTTATAAATTAAATCATAGTTTTGTCTAAATATGGAGGAACGACCGAATAAGAAAATTAAAAGATAATCTGAGAATTACCATTCTATAGTGCCCAGGTTTATACTCTGTAAATTTCGTTCCTAATATGTCAATGACATAAATTATAAACATTAAAGAAAAATCGAAAATTAACATTTTATTTAAATAAAATACCAGAAGAAAAGTATAAAGAAGCCGCTTCATCAGTTTTACTGTTGATATATCTAGTACATATCACGGAATGGCCATCAGTTACAGCGAAATTTAATAAGGATGACTAATCATGTTTATAAAAAAAATTATGTAAATAAATAAAATAAAGTTGATATATATAATATAAACGATTATTCGAGATACCTCATTAATTCCAGCATCTTCAGCCCAATTATTTAATTGGTCAATAGTTTTTAACATTGCAATTTTTAAAGTTTCATGATCAAATTGACCATTGATTGGATCATCAAGCTTAAGTAAGTTGGAATAAACAAATAAATAAAATACTGTAAAAGTAAATATGCTGCTGTTATTACAAAGAGACACATAGATTACCTAATATAAACTCATGAAACTTACTTGATTAAGAAACAAAGCAAACGCCCATTCAGAATCAGTGTTTCCTTGAACGAATAAAAATATATCATCTCTTAAAGATTGTTGTAATTTTCTTTTAATCTACATAGACAAAAATATAGCCAAAATTAAAGTTTAAAAATATAAACATTTGCATGATGAATAAATAATAATGAGTTAATAAACAAAAACCTTATTAAAACCAGCGATATGTCCATTATGCATCCACATCAAACGGCCAAATTTCCATGGATGACCTAATACAACCAATTTGAGCAACATGAGCAACATGAAAATTTTTTAACATACTGTACGTATGATTTTAAAACGTACAATTAGTTTCTGACAAAGCACCAGTTGTAGAAGCTCTAACATGAGCGAATACCAGAGAACTTCGAATTTCTTCAGCAAGTCTTGACAAGTTTTGATTATTCCAAGCAGGAGTGATTGAAGTGAATATACATGGAGTTGATGTCACATCAGGATTTGATTTGTACCAACCTAAACATATATTTGTAAATGGGTAAATAATCCTGTCATAATGATATTAGTGAATATGATGCATCGATATACCTACTCCAAATCCGTCACCTATAGTAAACAAATAATGTATTAGTAATACTGATAATACTGATAATATTTTTGATAATATAGTATTGATAATATTGTGAAAATAAGTTATTCAAAGTTTTAAATGCTATACCGTTAACTGGAAGAGTATCTAATCTCAATCTTGAATCAAATGATTGATTTATAATTGAATGAGCAGGACGTGTAAGAAGCTGCATATACACATAGTAAAAATATTAAAATAGATATATTATATAATATGTATGTAAAGCAACCTTTCATATAACGATTTAACCAAAAATAAAAATTAGAATATGTAAAATAAAATTTACGTGAGCCAATTTAATCGAAGCTTTCCCTTTATACAATAGAAATCTACACATTTCTTAAAAAGGATGGGCGAAGAAGAAAAACCAAAAAAGATTAAATAACAAATATATTTTTATAATCGGATATTGTTACACAGATTACGTACAGTGTTTGATTGGTTCTCGTGGTTGTACGATATATAACGGATATGAGAATATTTAAAGATTTCAGCATAAAAAAATGTTTGTTTTTTATGCGTGTTTTATCCGATAAGCTTCACATCTGACATTAAATAACTTGAGCGTTTATGGCGTAAAAAGATTCCCATCAAAAAGAGTAATAAACAAATTTTTTAATTTATGATACTTATTGTGAAAATTTTTTAATATTGTTGATAATGATATTGTTCTCTTAGGAGTAGATACAGTATTTATTTAGTCATTAAATAATAGAGGGATGACATTTATTGTTTATTTATATGGCATGCGGGTTATTTTTACGTGATAAATTTTAAGGCGGTGAAATTTTAGATATATCACTTAAACGCGATGTGATGAATACGTGCATACTACATTACTGATACATACTGCGTACCAGTACGTAATACGTAGAAACTTATAAATAAAATAAATAATGAAGATTTTTTTTTATTGCCGAATAATGGACAACAAAATAACACACAGCATACATATAAGGGAGAAGCGGTATAATAAGTATAATATAAGTATAATAATAAAATTGAATAGAAATAAGCAACCCAATCCAGAAAAGTAATTAAAATAAGACGAAGCAAATAAAATTACAGTTTGTAAATGTTGTGTGGCAGGAAAATTTTAAGGCAGATTAATTAGGCAGTCAATTGAAACTTTTTTATGGCGCAAATGATAGATCTTTTTTATACCCTATGATGTAAATGTGAGGGATTAATTACCAAATTTGGAAGTCAATTACAATAAAGACCTTTGTGGACGAGAGAAAAAAGGTTGTGGGCGGACTATGTATGGACAGCATATATTGATACATGCGTGCGGGAAATTAATGATTGATGAGCATATATTTGATTGTTTCCTATAAAGATAAAGGATAATCACAAATGATATTTAATGACAGGTAATTAGAAGAAAAGGGGTGGATCAATTAATTCAGCACAAAGCAAACTTTGCTGCACATATTTAAATGAATGTAAATGCTAAAAAATGAATAGAGAATGCAAAATACAATAAAGTATAAATACAGTTATAAATAAATATTAGATTTGTCGCGCCACCTTTAATAATCAAATGTTGATTAATTTACTGTTTGTTTTTTATTAGCATGTGCCTCCTGCTGGATAGTTTACATTTTTAAAAAATGATCATGAGATGATACATTTTTTCGGTACTGGATGACAAATGTGGTTGGGAACTATGCCACTATTTCGGATATTGAGTAGCACAGTCTATAATGAAAAAAGTGGGGTATTGGTACTATTAAGTGTATTACTGTAACTGTATTAAATGTACTCATACATACATTCAGTCATACACTCAGTCATACACACTTGGCTGTCAAGTCTTTGGATTGACGGTTATTTCGCAAGCATTTCCAAAAATAGTATGCTTGTATCCTGTTTAAATAATGATATAATTACGTAGTACGATAGTACATACCAAAAATAGATGGTTAAACAAAGAACAAAAAACAAACTGGGGAGGGATAAAACAAAAAGGTATTATGATAACCAAATTTGGAATCTTCTCTCGGAATTGGTACTTTTTTTTTTGGAAATGGCGTATGTATCTCATGTCAGGATTCGTATGCACAAATGTGAGAATGGTAAGAATGAGTGAATATCAACGATAATCTATCCTCACTTAACATGCTCACAGGTTAACATTAAATATCATAAAAGAACTTACAAAGAACTCATAAAGAACCTATAAAGAGTTCATAAATAGTTTGTAAAAATCGATGACTGCTTTCTAGAAAAGTCTATGGTATATTTTTTTGAATCGTAAAAAACCGAAGCTAACGAAACCGAAATTAAACTGAAAATAAACCTGGAAATGAACCTGGAAATGAACCTGAAAATGAGGCCGAAAATGAGGTTAAAAAGGAGGCTGAAAAAGAAGACCAAAAAAGTAAGCAAAAAATTAAACCGAAATGAAAACCGAAGCCTCAATACTTTGTTTTAATAATCACGTAACAGGTTTTAAAGTTTTAAAGGAATAAGAAATTTTGGTAGCTAACCGGCTACAGGTTCGTTCTGATTACTAATAAATAAACCAAAAAAAAAAGCAGTCAAGTAAGCGATAAGCATGCTTTTAATCTGGTGTCGCCACGCGCCGCAGGTACGTTATGTGGAGAGCGTATATACGCTGATCGGTGATCTGCGAGGCATACGAATTATAACAAATAGCAGATGGCCCAATAATACCTGGTACAGCATAGAGATTATCTGGGTGATAAATAAGGATACTTTGGTTTCTCATAAGGTATGATCAGTGATCAGTGAGACAAACAGTGATTAACTAAAAGGACCAATCACGTGTATGTTCCTACATTTTTTTGCATGTCACTATTTCAAGCATTTCTCTTTTAAACGTGTTAATATTGATGATATTCATCTCACATCATATCACAAACACATGAACAATTTTATTTGTTCTGTATTTATTAAGGATGATGTTAAATGACAGAACTGGCATTTGCTTGTACGTTATATTTATTGATATGTAACAAAAATTAATATTTAATCGTAGAACTAGGGTAATAATTGAATAGCTTTGTTATCAAAGATTAAATATGCAAAGGTAAATTAATAATCCGCCCGCGCGTATCGGAAATTCAAGTATCATACAACATCAAACAAATTAAGAAAAATAATCTGGTTTAAAAAGGAAAATTGACTAATCTAATACAATCAACTTTCTCTAGACCGAACCTGGATAGACAAACACTTGATAAACTCTATTCAAACCGAACTTTTTTTTATCATAAAGTTCGGTTTAAACATAAAGTATAAACACAAACATTTTTTTTCTTAATACTTTAAACTGTATTTTTTCATTAAGCTTTGAAAGTTTGAGTTATGTATAGCGATAGAGAGTGTTTTCTTCTTATTTTTGGGAACGTTTTTTTTGTTGTGCAGCTGAAATGTTTGTTCTTTATATGCATGTAGGTCTGTATGTATGCGTAGTGAAATTGAAAGATAATTTTACAGGCGAATCAAAAACATTTCTTTTCAACATTTAACAACTATTTATCCGTAAATCTTGATAGGCAAGGGGTTTAATTATCGTTGAGAATGGGAGCATATACTTGCACAAATCAGCGCATAGAAAGAATTTATCTTGACAATCTTTTCGGGTATAATTTTGCGCAATTGAATTGTTTGTTTGTTCTATTTCTAAATAATAATAATAATAATAATAATAAAATAATAATAATAATAATAAAAATAAAATAAAATAAAGTAAAATAAAATAAAGTACATAAAATAAAATAAAATAAAATGAAATAAAATGAGAAATTCTATTATACAAAACCCTTTAAACGCTTAATGTATGTTGTGCAGCTATCTTCAAACTACTTTTCATATATACTTTTTCATAGTTCCTATATAAATTTAATACATTAACAAATAAAATAAAGCCAATTCAGGAATTATAAGAATTAGAATACCCAAAATTTCTTTTAGTATAACCGATATTACAAACAACCATTTTCGCGCTTGATTATTTGTTTTACCGACACTGACTCTGTTACCATAACATTTACCATGCATAAATCTACGGTACCTATTTTCTATCTATCTGGTTATCTGGTTAGCATGTAACATGTATTACCATAACAAAACGATATCGTCGATATATTTCAATATATGTCTCTGATGACAACATGAAAATTTACATGTACAAGTTTACCATATAGATATGAAATCCGGGGATAGGATGATAGTATTTCTAATTATTTCAAGTTTGGTTAAATATATACAATTCATGCAGAAATGTCTTGAAATAAAAATAGTATGAATAGGACTGATATTTATCAAGGTTTGACGATATTTTGTATACTGTTATTTTGTACCGTTGTTATTTTTGTACCGTTATTTTGTGGTATTTTATAATAATATATTTTATTTACAACAGTATTTTGCGTTAATTTGAAATATTAAAAAAAAAAAATAATCTTTTTTCTTTTTCTTTTTAAAAAAGAATTCTTTTAAGAGACTATTTTTAAGAATTACTCACTATTCAATATTCAACACAAATCATGTGATTAATCACATTTAATCCCATGAATAAAAAAACAAAGTTTCATCGTTATTTGAATTAATTAAAAATGGATTATGTCCCTTGTTCAATATAATAAGTACAATATAGTTTGTGAAAAAAACAAATGATCAGACAATCTAGCGAAAACGGAAAGTATAACAAAATCCGATGACTTATACTTGATGAAGTCGATCTTATTATATGTTTAATTGTTTTTCTTTTTGTAAAGTATGACATGTCTCATGCTCAACTATGAATCCATGAATCCATGAATTCACTGTGATCAAATCAACAATTATTAACCAAAGATAACTTTAATTTAATTCAAGACGGGCATTTATTGATGTCCGATATAAATATTACAGGCTTGGCATATAATTAAATGCTATGTGATATTTTTTTTTTGTCCTAGTGTGATGTTAGTGATGTAAGATGAAAGATAATTTCAAATATGGACATATAAAGAAATAAATAGACACAAATAAATCTATATAAACATTACTCTAAAAAATTAATAAATACATGTTATTTAAACTTCTAACTTATACATCACTTTTCTATACTCTAAACCTCCACATAAATTTGTATATTTATATTTATATAAAATATAATAATCATTACCTTTTCCCATTGCGGTACTCTAAAATCATGTAAATTTTTTTTTTTTTTTTAAAGTATTGTATTTCTGCTTATCGTTATTGATGCGTAATACCTGTATTAGATAAATAAACAAATATAAACTCAGTTACGTATAAATTTACAGTTGTCAGCCATGAACTTTTGATGCATTCCGATTCCCGACTTTTTCAGTTTTTTTTCTCTCGCTCTGAAATATTCATCTGTCGCCTCTTTTTTTCTTTTTATTTTTTTTTTTATTATTCTTATTCCGTGTGTAGGGAGCCATCTTTTTTTTTTTGGTTATTCATACATGTCATGAGCGTCTTCGACACGAAACACCGGCTCTCCCTTTGAATCGATTTTTATCTTTGAATTTTTTTTTTTAAAAAAAAAAAATATTTAAAAATTTATTTTCATTCTCGGCATTTCATCTTTATCAAAAAAAATTTACATATTTTTGAAGACTGCATGTAAAAGAACCTTTATGTTAAAGTTTTTAAGTATTTTAATACATTAATACATACTTCAATACATGTCGCGGTACCCTAATAGTGGTAACGCTTCTCAACAACAGTCTTATTCTATACCACCTATAAATATCGGAAGTAACTCTCCACCGTTGTCTACCGCAACTTCTATTTCAATATCTTCGCGTTCTCGATACGAACTACAGGAACCTTATCAGCCTTTATTCACTTCTCCCAAAATGACCACGCATCCAACTTTACCTCCCATTAGCGCTCTCTCGTGTGACTTTTTACCACCATTATTATCTTCAAGTCAACAAGGAAGTAATTCTTTTCATTATAGAAATCAAACAAATGTTGACAGGCATGAACACTCTCGCTATACGAGTGGCGGTGGTAACGGTGGTGGTTTACTTTCCTTAAGTACTCAGTCGGCTCCTTCCACACCTTATCCTGCGTCTCCTTATCCTTCATATTTAACGTCGCCTCTACAGACTCAACCACCCCCTATTCCACAACAATCTTATTATCAACCACAGCAACCACAAAGATCCCCTCCTACTTCGTATTATCCTCAACAAAATTATTCCTCTTCTTATCCTCCAGCCTATCAACGACAATCATCGCCTCCTCCATCACGTAGGCAGCAGCATCATCCATCTCATTATTCACCTTATAGTGTACCTCAAATTTCACCACAAAGTACCCATTCTCATTCACCTTTTCCACAACAATCTCAACCTTCTGCACATATACAACAACATGGTATTCCACCCATACGTCCTTATCAAAGAAGTCACACTTCTCAAACCGTTATATCAGAACCCTTTGTAACAGTTACTCCTGAGTTAAATAATAGGCCGCCCAGACGGCGTAGAAGACCTCCATTTTCTTATTCTTCATTAATTGCTCAAGCTATTCTGGATTCTCCAGATAGAAGATTAACTTTACGTGAAGTTTATCAATGGATAATGGAACGTTATCCACAATTATACAAAGCTGATGATACTGGTTGGCAGGTTAGTTTTTTTTTTTTTCATCATAATTATTTCTTAAAAATAATTATAAATAATATTAATATTTTTTCTTTTTTTTTTATATTTCTTATATTAATAATATTTTAATTATATTAAAATTATATTTAATTATATTCAACTATATTAAATTATTATAATTATATTTAATAATAATTAAATTTAAATAATTAAATAGAATACAATTCGTCATAATCTTTCATTAAACAAATGTTTTAAAAAGGTTCCTCGTTCAGATACGGAACTAGGACATTCTACATCTTCATCTGCAGCAAGTAAAGGCAAAGGAGGTTATTGGACAATTGATCCTGAATACATGTCAGCTTATCATGATGGTGTATTCGCAAGGGGTGGAGTACAAAAACGTAGACCTGGTGAAGTTGGTTTACATCCAGGAATGAATAATTCAGGATTGGGAGATGAAGATAGTGCCGGAAGTGATACATCTCCATCGGATAGTTTGGGCGGCAGGTTGGTTGACGTGGATGAAGATGGTGAGGGTGGTTATCATTATCATCATCGTAGTATTCATCATCATAATGGACCTGTAAATGTTCCAAGTGATCGAATACCTTCTTTACAATTATCAATACCACCCCCTACAATGTCTCCATCATCATCATCATCATCATTAATGACACCACCTCCAACAGCATCATCCATGATATCTAATAAACCAAAAAAAGCATTTTTTAATAAAAGACATTCGACCGAATCTAATTTTAGTAACATGGGTTCACCATCACAATCTCCCCCTAGTTTTTCTAATTCTAGTGGGACACCTTCGGGTAGATATGATGTATTTCATCTAGCAGACTTTTCGGATGTAAATAATTCGAGTAGAGATATGTCACAATATTCGACTAATAATAATAAAGGTGGGGGAACAGGTTCAGAGTGGAATGCGAATGAATCTTCAATAAAAAGAGAATCGATAAATATGGACATTGATCAAAAAGAAGAGGCACGACCTTCACCATATTATTTAGGAGGCCAATCTATGGAAAGAAATGGTTCACGAAACGTAACTGACCAACCAATGAAGCGAGAGGGGGATTCATCGTATCAATATGTTAAGCGAGAAGATGAAGAATCTAATTCTTCAATGAAAATACGTGATTTATTAAATTGAAAAAAAAAATTCTCAAAGATGCAAACATTTTTGGGATGATCCATTTTTTTTTTTAAGATTAAATAATCGATGAACTATATGATTTATAATTTTTTTAATCCATTTTTTTTTTTATTTGTTTGAAAAAAAAAAATTTCACGCAATTTATTATATTCATTCGAGACAATTGAGATAAGTAATAATTAACCGAATTATTAAATTTTCCTATTTATCATTTTTTTTACGAAACTTCGACATCATTTACGAATCATTTACGAATCATTTACGACATCGTTTGTCGATTAGGCAAAAAAAAAAAAAAAAAGCAAAAAAAAAATCGCAAAAAAAAAATTAAAAATATAGCTTCGATATATTATTTCTTTGTTGTGAATTTCAAAATTATTATTTTCGTGTATATACCTTTTTTGATTGATATATATGATACATTTTTTTTCATAGTTTCTTTGATTGTCATATACTTATTGTCTGATAAATTTTTTTGGTCCGTTTTTTTTTTATTTTTTTTATTTTTTTTTTTTATTTTTTATTTTAAACAGGACCAACAATAATAATAATAAAAAAGAATTGTGGAAAGATATAACTATACGTAGACTATTTGAATTACTTGCGTATCACATGTAAAAGAAATTTGTGCAAAGTTTTTTTTTGGATGGATTTTCGACCATACACTTAGATAGATTAATGAAATGAATAAACAGATAAATGGATGACATAAGCAAACTAATCTTTTTTTTTTCCAAAGGGAAGTTTTTTTGTTGGTCTTTTGTTTACATTGTGAACGTAAGCGTAAATAGAATTAAGTGCGCGAATGCGTGAAAACCAGCCTACCGTAAATATAACAAACATACTACCATTAATGGATAAATTGATTTATGTATACATAAGTACACTTTACCAAATTTTGAATTCTATCAACGTGTAATGGGAGGCGTAATGAAAACCCATTAATTTCAAATTAGATTTTATTTGTAACTGTTTTTTTTTAAACAAAAAAAAAAAGAAAAGAGAATTAAGATATTTCTAGGTACGCAAGTACGTACGTGTTTGGTCATGGGGGAGTAATATTGATAATTATACTATATAATCTATATAAACTATATAATCTATACAATCTATACAATCTATATAAACGCAAATAAATAACAAACACAAACACTTTTAAAAAAATGGGATTTGAAAGGTGGCTTTAGCCACATCATATATCATATAACAAACATTACCACAAAAATAATATGTGTAAAAATGTATGAAAAAACAAACCACATGATAATAATAATTATAATAATAATAATAATAATAATGTATATATATATTATATATATATTTGTTTAACAATCATAATAAAAACAAAAAAGAAAACCTGGACTGTTGTTTTTAATTTAAATGAAATGATAATCATTGCTGCGAGGATTTTCTTTATTCTAACAATCAAAAAAAAAAAAAGTTACGTATTAAATATTTTGAAAATATGTATAATGTATACGTATGTATGTGTAATATGTATTATTAATTTATATATATATATATATTATTTAAAAGTCTATGTAGTTTTGTTATTACTATAATAGGATAACCTAAGGTAGGTTTATAATACTTGATTTTTATATGATAGTAGCAGGTTGTTTATTTTATTTTATTTGTTATTTCTAGTAAAAATTTTACAAGAACATGTGGCGGTACATTTCTCTAAAATTGTGGTTAAAAAAATACAATATCGATATTAGATAAATTAAATTGAAACGAGTTCTTGTACCTGTTTTATACACATGTACATCACGAATGAATTTTTTTAAAATATATAGTGATGAATTAATTAAAAAGACAGTAATGAAATGAATTGAATTTTGAATTGAAATGAAATTATGACGACATGAAACAATAAACCCTTTTTTTTTTTTTTTTTTTTTAAGGGAACCTTCAAACAAGTAAATTAGTAATCAGTGCACAACGTACAAAAAAAAACTTGTGTGATGCATTTAATTTGAAAATTTTCGGCACTTGGCTATTACCGAAATCAAATAACGTTACGTAATTAAAATAGAAGGTAGATTCTAAAGTTCTTTGTTTTGATAATTTATCGGTTTCCATAACAATAAATGATATGGTTTTATTTCGTTAGTTAATGTTTTTTTTTTAATGTTTTTGTTTTGATACATTTTAATAAATACATGAATGTTTTGATAATACATGAATTCTGGAAAAAAACAAAATAATATTATGATAATGTGGGGAGAATTTTTTTCTGGTTCTTTGTGAAAAGACAAAAAAAAAAATATTAGGTAACAAATTAATTGTTTTGATGGGATAAACTTCTCGCAAGTTGTTGGTACATGCTTAAAGTGAAAGCGTGCGCTTTACCGTTTATTTGTGTGATACCATTATCTTCGAGAGTGAATTTTGAAATAAAAAATCAATTAATTGATATTGTTTATATTAAATTAATTAAATTAACAAATAGTAATTTGTTTGATTACATAACAGTTCAACAAATAAGAAAAAAAAGTTAACATTTTATTTGTTCACGACAACATAACCCGGCAACATCACCTTAAAATAAGAGGGATAAAAAGGAAAGTAAACTTTGATCGACGATTGAATAACATAAACTTTAAAAATGAACAATAACGAACAAATTTAAGGGAACTTCAAAAGTTATGCATTCGGGGAAACCTTTTAACGTAAATGAAAGAGTTACCCACGCGGAAATTTTTCATACCAAACCCAAATAGGTCGCGTATTTACAATCTCAAATATCAACATGATATGCACGATAAGAATAATAAGTTTTATCAAAGAAAAAATAAACAGACCGACATTTGGAATAACATTTAGGTAAGCCCATTAATAATCGCTTTACAGTTATGGTAATGTTCAGGCTACACGAAAGAAAAGTTTGATGGGAAATTAAATAAACATCTCACGCGCACAAAAAAATGGTTAAGTGACACAAAATAGCATTCAGTATCACTGCATCACAATGGGTTCAATAGAAGTTTTCTATTGTTTATCTTTTGCTAGTAGTTTTAAATAGTTCGAGTGTTTGACTTAATTTACAGTAGTTTGCTGTAGTTTATGGTAGTTTACGGCAGTAGTTTATGGAAGTAGTTTATGGTAGTTTACGACAGTAGTTTATGGCAGTAGTTTATTTGTATTTTGTTGTTTGACGTAATCCTTTCATTTTTATCCATTTTATTTTATTCATTTTAAGTAGATTATTTACCTGATGCAGTAATTTTATTTAGTATATAGTTTAATTTGTAATTTAATAGTTTTTAGTTTAGTTTATTTTGACATAGATTAATCAACATAATTGACGAAGTTTATAAAATTTACAAAGTTTATAAAAAATCCAAATAATATCTTTATGGCAAGGACATAATCAGGTATAATCCAGGATCAGAGATTTTTTAATCAGAGATTTTTAATCAGAGATTTTAAAAGTAAAACAAAGAATACAAAGACAAGAATGATGATACGTGTTTCAGAAACACTTGAACCAAAAACAGTACGAAAATACCTTAAATTTTAGGTACATCAAACACATCGGGCTTCACGTCATGCGATGTAAACGCGCCAACCTTCCAAGTTAGATTGTTTAAATGATCATCGAACTAAATCAAACTAAATCAAAATTAAAACCAAACTAAAATCAAAATAAATTCAAACTGACAATCAAAAATCAAAATAGCCCAAAAACCAAAAGTGGTAATTTCAAACCCCTTACCTTGGCGAAGTAAATGAACACTTGAACAAACAAACATTTTTTTTTGAAAAAAAAAAAATCTATGAAAAATTCATTTAAGAGTAAATCCACCACATGATACCAAACATTTAAAAGCAATACCAAATAAATGATGTAATGATTTTGAATCTTTGTAATGAATGAAAATACATAAAAACGATACATACATATATATTTGATCAAATATATCGATTAATACAGTATTAAATATATTATTAATATATATTTACTAATACAGTATATCAGGTACAATATTAACTTAATTAAACCTATCCTTAACTTAGATAATTTTTTAAACGAACTAACTATTCTCCGATAAGTTAAATGATTTACCAACTATTTATACATAATGGCGGAGGCTGTTTATATTTTAATTAATGCATACAATGAGTCCCTCTTCCGGATTTAACAGGCTATAATAAGCAAATGTATAGATATTATATGTATTCTATCATAGCAAAAAATATATATACGTTATCGTTATGAGAGAACATAGACATACGAGTACGAGTATTATAAGATACATATAGAAGAGAATATATACTAGATAATATACATTATTATTTAGAAAATATATATGTATTTGAAAAAATATTTAATAAATAAAATTTAGGAAATTTGACAAAAAAAAAAGAAGCTTTTTTTTGGATTTTTTTTTTTAGATAACGGCAATGGATAGACAATGGGAGAAAGAAATAAGATGCATCCCCTCGGAAAGAGGCATCTTCCAGTAAGATAGTGCATAAAGAAAGATAGTAACACACATTTTTTAAATCTGTGATACGAATGATTTAGAAAAACCTTAAAAACAAGTTTGTTCATCGGCGTTTATCTATTCATTCGTTGCATTGAGATAATGATTGATATAATGATTGATATAATGATTGATATTCGGGATTAAACGGAGGCGGAAGTCAAAAGAAAATCAAAATTCCGACAAACAGCATTCATTCATTGAATAAATAAAATAAAATAAAAACCAAATAGGAAATGCTTTGAAAACTAAAAACAAAATGTAGATACGTTCAAGTCTAGTTTATTGTTTGTCATCAATCACGAATGATTGCTTAATATAATAAAGAATCAGTGTTCCCACAAACAAAAAAAAAAAAAAAGAAAGAAAAAATCTTTGGTAATCAACAAACAACAAACAAACCGCAAGTTAAACCAAGGTGACTGGTTAGCTACAGACCGCATTATGTGTCTCTTCTCATTCTGTACCTACGTACGTATGTAAAAAATTTAGTCTGTAATAAAT